AAGTCACAATGAGCTTTTCTTGCTGTATCACTAAGAAAAGCATTATTGGCTACTTACTCCCCCATTTCCAGAACCACACATGACAGTTATAACTGATGTACCATATTCTTGTTTTCATTTTAAGTAGTTTTACTAGTCTCTCAGCTAGAAATACTGGCTAGCCTGAATCCTCATGTAATATTAATTTACTTTACTTACAACTTCTTGCTTGCATGGTCTTTGATACCTTTCCAGAATTGTCCTATGAGTATCTGTTTACACCAAGAGTATATAAGCTGGCAGTATACAAGAAAAACAGCTCGTTCCCCATGGCCAATAGCAACCTTACACAAAGCACAACAGTGCACTGCCTAGAGTTTTTGAGATTCTCAGGAACTCTACCCAGAAGTTATCCTTCAGCTGCATCCCAGGGTATCTGAAATTTCTACATAAAATCAATTAGGGCAAAGGGCCCATAACAAAATACCTGAAGATGTGAAGAGCTACATTAAAAAGTCACACACTTATCATCACATAGAACTAATTTTCTCTATGTATTTTTAACTGTCACACAGCAAAGGTCTATGGCCACGAGAGAATGTTAGGGCTACACAAATCATTCCAGGCAGGAAAAAGTACAAAGCAATGAAGAGAAGCCAAAGTTTAGAACAAGGCCTGTGGAGTACCACTGCATAGAAAGCCAGACTATAGAGTATATTGAAGGTAAGGAAAAGGAGATGGTTACTCTTCTATTTATAACCCTCAGTCTTTTGCCTTATAGCTATGAAATAGTCCCTTAAAAACATAATGTAAAACGGTAAATAATCAAATTGTTCTGCTTTCCAATAAATACCTTTCCAAGATGTTTTCTCTGAATTCTTATAGTTTTTTATTGTTTCTAAGAACAGTCAAAATGAAATAACATCTGTTTTACTAATTGAAGTAATTTTTCTGTTTTGAGGTAATCTAAATAAATACTTCCCATTCCCACTTCTATCTTCCCTTTCATAAGGTTTAGAAAATGGATCAGGGACTTTGAACACACTTTGGCAGACTCTACAAACCTCAAAAATGGCACAGTTGACACTCAGACTCAACCTACCTTTCTAAAGTTGCATTCTGGAAGTGCAAATCAAAAGAGGTGGCAACAAATCACCACAGAAAAATCCACAAGCACAGCTTTATTTGTACACAGCAATTTGCTACACAACAAAAGTCAGATCATAGCAATAAAGATAACTGTAAGCAAATATCAGGATATGCCAAGGTAATAATGAGCTGAATGTTTCTCATTTCTGTATGTATACATAGCAAATACTATAATATATATTCTTTGGAAAAGGAGAGAAGGCCAAAGTAGCACAAATATTTCCTCAAGGATAATCCTGTGTTGAAGACTTGACAACTGAAATGAAATTCTAACAATATTTTGGTGTAAATACTGGTTTAATAAACTATATATTACCTACTTTTTGTAAAAAGAAAATCACTTAATAATTTGTTTTATATTAAATATATACTTTCCCCTTACTGAGCATGTGTATTCACATTCAAGAGGATCAAAATAGATTTTTCTCAAATAACTAATCACAAAAAATTCACGTATGACAAAATGTTGATTACAATCTTGAAGAATGCCTTTTAAGCCAACAATATAATCAATAAGAAAGTATAACAGAAATAGCATCAGTGTGCCCACCTTATAATAAGATTCATCAATAAAAGTTTTTTCTATAAACAAAATCCCTTATTTAAGATTTACATCAGAATCCCTATCAAAACAAATGCAAGATTAACTTTTCATCTTTTGAGTCTATTACGCACATTTCCATTTCACTTGTGTAAAAATATGTAGATCAAATTTCTGGAATTATTGAGAACTGTGTACTTCTAATGAAAAATCATAACAACATAGCATGGGGGAAAACGTAAAATAGCTATGGAATGGTTAAATAGATTCTACCATATTAACTGGCAAAGACACCAAGGCAGAATTATGAACAATTATTTTCACATTGCTCACTTGATAACAACTTTATGTTTACATTAGGAATCCATATTTCGTGATTTTAAAAAAAAGAAATGTGACCATAAGTGTGCATGACTGTTTTTTAATTGCCCAAACATTGATTGCAATTAACCGAACTGTAAATTTACCTTAATTGTTTTGAGAATAAATAATCTTAACCTACAGAATGATGCTACACCTAAACTTTACACATTAGGGAAATCTTGGTCATTTTCTGATATTTCAGTAAAAGGTCTTCATTTTTGAAAATGTCAACAGAAATCTTTAATACAAAACAGTTCTTTGGAATGAATTTGATTTGACTGTTTACATAAGGATCCATGCCTGCAGAAAAAAAAAAATCATAGTTGTGCATCTAACTGTAGTCGTATTTCGAATCATTTTTGCAAAACTATTTCCTCCTTATTTTGATGGGTCTGTGAGTCTTGCACAGAAGCAAGAATTATTCCAATATAATCAAAACAAAAGAAGACATTTTATTTCTCTTTCTCAAAAGAAAGAACACAAGTTCCCCCTTGAGTCCCCGGCCACCCATTCACCTCACACACACACACACACACTTCACACACACAATTACTTTAAAACTGAAAGGCACAGGATCTTTTCTGAAACCCCGGGGAGACTTATGTAGTCTTTAGGCTGCTGTGTTACTTAGCCTAAGTGCTCCTGGTGCAAATGACTTTATTGCCTTGCACTCTAGTTGCATGCTCTGGCCCCATCAGATAACATCTCTACACATAACACAACACCACACACACACACACCCCACACCACAGGCCAAGTTTCCAATTTCAGAGGCCCGTTCCGCACACAGTCCATGTTCATCTCGGTTATGTTCCGTGTCCTGACCCCACAATTAAGGGACACTACTTAATCCTGGTGGATCTGCTCCGTTGCCTCATTCTTGCAAGAGTCCTACAAAGGTTCCTCCCCCACACCACCTTGGAACGTGATGAAGACGGTGGGATCTCACGACCACAGTTTGTCCCCTTCCTCACCCCTGGCATCCCGCCTTCTCTTCACCAGCAATCAGAGAACCATCCCTGCACCGAGTGTATACATAAAATCCAAGGGTGGAGAATTAAATAGCCCGTTACAAAGGGTGCCAGGGGCATGAAGAAAATAAGCGGGATGAGGTTCCCGAGGGGAACCCTTCAAGAGCAATGACAGGGCGACAGAAGGATGTCAGCGGTGGTGAGAGAGGTTGGAGAATGGCTTTTCACGTCGTTCTCAGGTGTTTGGGGGAATCCCGGGGCGACGGGGGCATTGATACGGGTTCTCCGATCGTTCCCAGCCTCATGATCCCCCACGCGCCCCCTCGGCCACCTTCCCGCGGACGGCCACCCAGCCCCGCGCGGAAGGAAACGCCAGGCTCCCCCCACGCTCTCCCGCTCTCTCGCGAGTCCTGTGCAGGCCCTTCCAGTGGGAGGGGGAAGGGGCGCGGAGGGAATTGCTGCAATGGAGCACCAAGAGAACCCTGCCCCAGCGAGGTAGTCCGTGGAAAGCCACGGCCACATAAAAATGCCATATTAATTTTTTAAAAGCCATAAATCACCCCCTCCCTCTGCAAAAGAAAACCATAAACCCGATCCCATGCAAGCCTGCGAGCAGCCACCCACTTCCTATTTCTGTCATAGCAGCTACACCCTGCCAGCAACCACCCCCGGGGCGCCCCCTCCCGCCACCGCCACCGCCACCCCGCCGCCGCCTCCCCGCGGCTCAGCCATTTGCCAACTGACGCCCCCGTCAATAAAAATGCCCCAAGTGGAGCTGAGAGGGAGGCGTGGGGGAAGGGCGCCGCGGGGGAGGGGGTTCGCGGGTTGCACAATATCCTAGAAGGTCCGTGGCTGGAGCTGGGTGAGGAGAACCCTGGGCGGGGGGGAGGGGAGGCGAGGCGAGGCGAGCCGCCCGGGCGCCTGCGGCACACCGTGCACCCGAGCGACCGTGGCGCTCCGCTTACCTTTCACCACCCTGTCGGTCGTCGACAACTTGGGATCAATTGCCTTGGGCTCGGACATCTCCAGCCGCCGGGGGACAGCGACGCGCTGCTTGTCCGTCCGACTGCACACCCCCACCGGACCGGCGGGCCAGACACTCAACGCCGCCGCCGCCGCGCTGCAAACCGCTTGGCTGGAGGTCTGGGCTCTGAGCTGGCTTTAAAGTTACTGCCTTCTCCGCGCGTCCCTCCTCCGCTGCCGCCGCCTTCACTCCTCCTCCACTGCCGCCGCCAGCCCCGCCGACTCGCTCCGGGCTGCGCGTGTGTGGTGGTTATTTATTTATTTTCTGAGCACGCCTCCCGGTTCTTCTTTTATTCTTGGGGGAAGGGGGATGGGGAGGAGAAGCGCACACACGAGTACCCACCCCGGCACGGAGACCGGGCACCGCGGAATGGAGACCCACGCGCGCACACGGCCGGGATTAAGACCGATCACATGGGGAGGGCCGGGGGCGAGGGAGAAGAGGCAGGGCCGCGGATGTCAGTGCCACCAGCAGCGCCTCGGCGTCCCCGGTGGCGTTGAGACGGCCGCTGCTGTTGCTGCTGCTGCTGCTGCTGCTGCCGCCGCCGCCGCCGCTGCTTCCCCACACCGAGCGCCGCCGATGCAGCCGCCGGTGCCGCGGCCGCGGTAGACGTCCCGCTGCCGCGCTCGCCCGCGCTCGCCTCTGCCTCCCGGCACCGCTCCTTCACTCACACAGGCACAGCCGCGGAGCTCGGCACACACAGTCCCGGGCACAACCTACCCTCCTCCGCCGCCTCCGCCACCGCCTCCGCCGGCCACCGCCACCGCGCCCGCCTCCGCCTCCTCCCCTTCCTCCTCCCGGCCCCCGCCTCTAGCGCCGGGGTAGCCTCCGCCTCCCCGCGGGGCCCGCCCCCGGCCTCCCGCCCCGACGTCGCAGCCCCGTGCACTCATTGGCTAGGTCGTGTGTCCCTCACTGCCAGGTGGCGGCCTCCGAATTCGTCCCGCCCCCCGTTCCTCCTTGCTGTCCCCGCCCCTCGCTCTGTTTTCCACCAGCTGCCTGTCCAGCGGGCCTGCCGCCTCCACCGCCCAGTCCTTGCTCAGGTGTCACTGTTGCTGGCAGGCCAGGATTAGGAAAGGAGAATGGGCAGGGGGTGGTGGCTGGGAGGAGATGGGCTCTACCATGCCACCCCCACCCTCACTTGGCTTCCTACCCTGGAATCCGCATACACCCCCGCGCCTCCTTGGCACCCGCGCCTTGGAGACTGGGTTAAGCTGCAGTGTGAGTAGCCAAGAACGGACGGTGTCTCCGGGTGTGTGCGTGGCCTGTGAGAGGGCACGGAGAAGGCGGGGAGAGGAGTGAAGCGGGTGGGGGCAACCGAGAGAGGGCGGAGGAAGGAAGAGCGCGAGGAGCTTGGGGCCCACGGCGCAGCTGCTGTCGCTGCCGCAGCTGTCCAGGGAGAATCGCCAAAACTATGACAAATAAACAACTTACCTTGCGGAGATGGGCTCCGCCTGTGATGGGGTGTACGGTTGTATTTTCTAGTGGGCTTTTGTGTTGGCGGTATGGTGGCTGTTACTGTTTCCCACCCATGCATGCACACCTTAAGAGGAAGGGTCCCCTGTCAAAAGTCGCGGATCAGGGACCTGGCTGTGTCTGGCGCTGCGGGACACAGGACCGGGCTTTCCTGGGAGAGTGGGGACAGGAGTCCAAGCGACCCCGGGCGATTCAGCCATCCTAGGCTGCCCTGTTGCACTCTATGGAGAAATGTGGGAGCGGGAGAAACGTGGAAGTCGCCTTTTGACTGTTCACACAAGGACACTCAGCCACTGTTTGGGACAGGCGACACCAAATCTGCCTGTCATCCACTTGGTACTCTGGATATCCGCAGGACCTTGGAGCTGTAGACAGTTGCCCGCCGCGGTATCTCAGGTTGGAAGGAAAGTTAAGGCGAGAATGCTAGACGCTGGGGGGCAGAGTGTTAGTAGCAGAAATGCTCTTTTCAGACCAGAGGAATCTTAGAAGTGGTTCTCCCTCTGCCAGGTGTCATCTCAGCCTCTCCTGGATCAACCTCAGCTCCAAGGACCCTCAAGAAAGTTAGAATTCTGGAGGGAATTATGAAGAAAGTTAAACAAATTTTTCACCCTCAGTCCTTCCTATTTTATTTGCAAATTCCAAATGGGTTTTTCCTATTTCCTGAATTGAACTACAGACCCAATAAATGGCCTAGAAAAGGGTTTAGGAAGGCAGGAGATGGAGCCAGCAGAACTGTTTTGACGACAGGGATTAGATTAAGCTCAAACTTGAAAACTAAGTTTTAATAACTTATTTTTCGGGCTGGTGGTGCTGGAACACAAGGGGTAGTGTGAACTGCAAGAAGTAGGAACACACACTAGAAAGTAGCCTCTGGGGAGGCCTCCAAGATAAGGGGCAGGATATGGGGTGTGTCCCACCAGCAAAGAGAGAATGCCATGGGCCCAAAGGGTGAGATTCTGCTGGCCAGTTTACAACCCCAGAATAGGATGTGGTAATTAGGCAGACAATTTATTCAATAATTATGTATTGTGCTCCTTTTATTCATATGCCAGACACTGTGGTAGGTAATTTATGAGCCTGCATATAGGGGTGTGGTGCTCTAAAAATGGTCTTCCCTGTCAGTAAAGCCTAGAGTCTGGCATAGCTTTCAGAAAACATAAAATCATGTGCTCCTAGAGGTCACCATAATCTCCTCCAAAAGGGTTTGTTGCAAACAGCCTCCTGGACACAAGAAGAGTTAGTTGCTGAGGCAGATTTGGGAAGTTGGTCCCAGGCCAGATGGCACACAGAGAGGGAAGGATGCCAAGACCTGTGGGTGAAGAGGGCCTGCTTCAGGAAAGACCAGGAAACCATGTCCAGGGATGCTCACTTCCAAGGGCAAAACATTCTCACACACATGTGGCAAACAGATATAGTTCCCACTGTTATTTGGACTAACTTTCTCCAAATACAGGAAAATGCCATTGAACCAACATCAGAAGGCTTAGAATGTCAGCAGCATAGAGAAGTTTTATGATAGAGATAGGAAATAAAGGCACACCTTTCAGTCACACCCTTCAGTCCGCTACAGGTCTAGGACACCTCCTAGCTGAGGTATGTGTGGGAAAAAAAAGTTATGAATCATAATTACTTCACAACATATCTTATTATCATCAGGCATTTTTAAAGCATGTGTATAGTTCTACAACTGTTGCAACATAGACACTTCTTAAACAAATTGGACCCTGCTCCAAAGAAAACTAACAGCAGGTTAAAAACTGGGGACTAGTTAATATCCATAAACTTGGCTTACTGAACCTGATAGCCAAATTATCTTTTTTACTCAGATATTCATTTAGACATCCAACTGTCTGCAACTGCCATTCTTTCTTTTTTTTTTTTTTTTAATCCTGTTAGACTGTCCGAGCTATTCTTGATTATATTACCACTTCATAGAATTACCTTTGGAATTTACATTTTCAAAAAGTTATTTCAATTTCCATGAGCTGACTTTGGAAATGTCCTCTGCTTGTGAAGAAAAAATTAAGAAAATAAAAAGTTAGCCCCCCCACCAAAAAAAATGCACTTTCCTTTCCATAATCTATCTCTCTAGCATCTGCCCAGCTAGGGAGTCCATTTCCCAGCCTGACCCTGGATCCAGGCTAAAGTGTTCTGTCACTTGCTAGCCAAGGTAGTTAAGGAGCAGATACACATTCTCCAGTCTATCAGCTCCCATCCTTTAGTTGCATACAGAGGCTTCTAAGACTCAGGGACCCACAGAACATCATGTGGCTAGAGCTAATTCTTCAACTAAAGGAATGCTGTCACCTATGAAGAAAATCTGCATTATACTTTACCTTATAAAGAAATAATCTTCTGTTGGGTTATTCCACTAGTTGAAGATATGTTTGTTAGGGTAGGTAGTAGTACTATATCAACATACAAAACTCATTTATTTTATTAATTGAAAGAATAAAATCCTTAGTTAAATCCCAAAGGCTTGTGTAACTGTTATATAAGAGAACAACCCGAAGACTAAAAATATTCCCTCTTTTAATACATGAACATCAAATCTTAATTTTCTGTGAATGAATTATTCATTTACCAGTTGTGTTTTGAACACCTGTTCTGTACAAGGTATGATGTTAGATGATGCATAAAAGTATAGAATGAAGAATGATTCAACGATTTTGTTTCTCCACTCAAGGATCTCAAAGTCTTACTTTATAACTGTTACATACATATTATCTTTACAAACAATTAAGCATAAGAAGCTGCTTTCTCTTACTATTGGAGAAAACAAACTAGTTTGCTATTAGTTTCATCAAAAATAATAATAAAGATAAATATGAGGGAAAGTAATGTGTACTTGGAATCATGTGCATTTAAATGCTTTATACAGTTTGGATGCAAATTATAGGAAATGAAAAATATTTTGTTTTGCTTACTAAGTGATTTGCTATATCCAGAGGAAAAAAAGAAAGAAGAAAAGAGGAAAAAATGACATTGTTTTTTATATCTTATTTTGAGAATAACTTTTAAAATATTGGACTTTGATTCTGGGGTGGATTTACTATCATTTGGATATTAGACTTGAATAATAATTTCTGGACATAGCTCTTCTAAGTTAGATATCAGTATGTTCTATCTACATTCTCACTTAAGATGGTGGGATACAAAGTTGAAGGATCTGTAAATAGACAGTCAGGCCTGGAAAGGCCATGAATGTGTGTGAATTTGATGTATGTTCTTAAATCAAGTTCCCACACCATTCCCTTCTATTTGTATGGAGTTCTTTCTTGTTTACTATAGAGGCTCTATGAAATACACTAGTCTACATGGATTTTATTTGAGGTTCAAACTGAAAGGGCTTTATGTTGTTGATCTTTTGGATTTGTCTTGAAATTTTCTTGAGCCTTGGTTTTGTCAGGAGGTAGTTTAATTCATTTAGACAATTCTGAACATTGAGCATTTTTATAGCAAGTATATATAGGAATACATATAATTTTTCCACTACAGATTAAATGAAAATCTTTGAACTTGTATACCAAGTTCAATATGGAGAAATATTTTACATAAAATTTGGCAAGAATATTTGATCAATGTTCATTTGGATTTAATAACCAAATATTCATTTTATTTATATTTGTATCCTCATTTCATATCCAAGTTCTTGGCACAATGTAGGTGCTCAACAAATTTTGTTGAATGAGTGTTGGTATTCACAGTATGAGATAGATGTTAGGCTAAGTACCAGGGTCTCTATTCTCAAGGAGATATCAGTATGACTAAAACTCACAAACACACATATGAGAGAGAAATGTCATTAACTCTTTCTCCTAGACAGTTTTAACTTTAATTTAATTCCAGACTTTGAAATTATGAATAGATTGTGCCAAGTCATAAATGTTTCCATTAAGAAGAGCTATACATTTGCCATTCTATTTTAAAAATCCAAGAAACAAATGTGCTATAAAATTTTATGTATTTTGGCTTTTCTAAACTCAAAAAAATCAGAATATTTGACCTAAAATGAGCTGAAATTTACATTTGAAGTGATTTGAGAACACTTCAATAATAATAGCAAAGAACTCACTAATCAAACTACAACAACATTTTTGGAGACTTGATAGATCAATTTAGAAGAACTTTTTCTGGTCCTTTCAAGGCAGATTTACATATGCAAAACCAGTAAATAATTAGAAATTAGTTTTATCCTTTAAAGCAGGCAGAGATTTACCCTTACTAGAACAAGAGTTTGCCCATTACTGATTAAAAGTTCATGAATTTGCAAGTAAATATTCTATTCTTAATTTGAATTTGGCACTCAGACCAGCCACCTTTCCATTTACTTCTAAGTAGTAAAGTTTTATTTTGCTAATATTTAGGGCTAGTGGAAGGCATATATTCAATAGATAGTTATTGAGTATCTATACCTATCAGTCACTGTGAATGTAATATGGAAAAACCAAAGTCTCTACCCTCATAAAACTTACATTCTAGTCAAGAGAGACAGATGATAGAAGACAGCACTTGCACTACACACAGGCCATGGAAGTGGGCTGAGGGATGACCATAATCATAACACACAGTGGCTAGGGCACTGAAGGAAGTGACACAAACTGCTGTGGTGGCCATGGCATACAGAGAAGGGGTCTCTGAAAAGCTGATATTTGAACAGAGATTCTCAAGGTGATGGAGATGGCTCTGCAGCCACACAGAAGAAGTGAGTTCCAGACAAAAAGGAACTATAGATGCAAAGGCCC